TTTTTCAGTCCAACATTCAGTCAACTGTATACAAATTTGATTTCAGTATCTACGTTCTCAAACTTACGAGGCCGAGATGGATTTATATAATAAATTCTTATCAGGTGGTGTCAATATCTCACCTGGTCACAATTTTGATTGTGCTGAGTTTGGTTGGTTCAGAATAGTGTTTGCCCACCCCACTCATGAACTTCTAATAGGTAAGTATACTTACTTTTCTTTCCAAACAGCTCTGTAAATGTTAGCTATTCTTCATGTACTACCATTTAATCAGCATTTTCTTATACATATATTGGGAATCTTTTTTGCTGTAGTTTAAAATCAATGTGTCCTCTAAGTTGATATGATGTGCCACTTGCGCACAGAGATTTACTGTGACACAACTAGTTATGATAATTTGCTGGCACATCATTGAAAACAAAAATATCTTATTATAGTTACAGAATTTGTAATTTGGGAAAACAAAATTCACATTTCTTGGCAGAAAAAGTGTAAAAATGAAAGAAATCAGGGGTCACAACATTTTTCTTTGTTCCTCAATTCAACTACAGTCACATACAATATTATTTCTTTCTTGAAGACCTTTCTGCCTCAAACATTTTGACTCCAAATCCCTACATTATCAGTCCTGCTAGAGTGCACACTGCTTGGAATGGTCAGTAAGAATATTAGACATGTACTTCTACAACTGATTTTTGCTGATTTGCACCATTCGCTCATATTCATACCATCAAATATTTCACAATAAAGCTGAATGGTCTCAGAATGCAATTTTTAACACTTGATTAATTTAGGAGGATGAATGTTTTTTTCATTTTACTTAACAGCAATTGAAAGGATAGGTAAAGTATTAGATGAGATAAAAAGTGAAATATGTGGTGATAGTTTGGAATTGAATCTGGTAGGACCTGATCAGCCTGTCCTAGGTGCTGCTAGCCATGAAGACAATACTCAGAAAAAAGGTAACAGTTGACTTTGTTTTTATTTTATGCCAGGTGTTATGTTTAGTATGACAATAACACACCTGGTATTTCTATTATGCAAATGACACACCTGGTATGTATGATATGCAAATGGCACACCTGGTATATATGGTATGCAAATGGCACACCTGGTATATATGATATGCAAATGACACACCTGGCATGTATAGTATACAAATGACACACCTGGTATGTATGATATGCAAATGACACACTTGGTATATATGGTATGCAAATGACACAAGTGGTATGTCTAGTATGCAAATGACACACCTGGTATGTATGGTATGGGATAACACACATGGTATGTATGGTATGGAATGACACACCTGGTATGTATAGTATGGAAATGACACACCTGGTATATATGATATGCAAATGACACACTTGGTATATATGGTATGCAAATGACACAAGTGGTATGTCTAGTATGCAAATGACACACCTGGTATATACGGTATGCAAATGACATAAGTGGTATGTCTAGTATGCAAATGACACACCTGGTATATATGGTATGCAAATGACACAAGTGGTATGTCTAGTATGCAAATGACACACCTAGTATGTATAGTATGCAAATGACACACCTGGTATGTATAGTATGGAAATAACACACCATGTATGTATGGTACGCAAATGACACACCTGCTATGTATAATATGCAAATGACACACCTGGTATATATGATATACAAATGACACACCTGGTATATATGGTATGCAAATGACACACCTGGTATGTATAGTATGCAAATGACACACCTGGTATGTATAGTATGCAAATGACACACCTGGTATGTATAGTATGCAAATGACACACCTGGTATGTATAGTATGCAAATGACACACCTGGTATGTATAGTATGCAAATGACACACCTGGTATGTATAGTATGCAAATGACACACCTGGTATGTATAGTATGCAAATGACACACCTGGTATATATAGTATGCAAATGACACAAGTGGTATGTCTAGTATGCAAATGACACACCTGGTATGTATAGTATGCAAATGACACACCTGGTATATATAGTATGCAAATGACACACCTGGTATATATGGTATGCAAATGACACAAGTGGTATGTCTAGTATGCAAATGACACACCTGGTATGTCTAGTATGCAAATGACACACCTGGTATGTATAGTATGCAAATGACACACCTGGTATGTATAATATGCAAATGACACACCTGGTATATACAGTATGCAAATGACACACCTGGTATATATGATATGCAAATGACACACCTGGTATGTACAGTATGCAAATGACACACCTGGTATGTACAGTATGAAAATGACACACCTGGTATGTACAGTATGCAAATGACACACCTGGTATGTACAGTATGCAAATGACACACCTGGTATGTACAGTATGCAAATGACACACCTGGTATGTACAGTATGCAAATGACACACCTGGTATGTACAGTATGCAAATGACACACCTGGTATGTACAGTATGCAAATGACACACCTGGTATGTACAGTATGCAAATGACACACCTGGTATGTACGGTATGCAAATGACACACCTGGTATGTACGGTATGCAAATGACACACCTGGTATGTAC